CCGGGCTCCTCCGCTGTGGCAAGGGCACCACCTACGAGGGCGGCATGCGGGAGCCCGCCCTGGCCTACTGGCCCGGCACGATCGCGCCAGGTGAGCCGGGACAGACCGGGACAACATGGGGACAGAGCTGGGACTGACCTGGGACAGACCGGGACAAACCAGGGACAGACCTGGGACTGACCTGGGACAGACCGGGACAACATGGGGACAGACCGGGACAAAATGGGGACAGACCTGGGACAGACCGGGACAAAATGGGGACAGACCCGGGACACACCTGGGAACGACCGGGACAACATGGGGACAGACCTGGGACAGACCTGGGACAGACCTGGGACAAGCTGGGGACAGACCCGGGACAGACCTGGGACAGACCGGGACAAAATGGGGACAGACCTGGGACAGACCTGGGACAGACCAGGCCAAAATGGGGACAGGCCTGGGACAGACCGGGACAACATGGGGACAGACCTGGGACAGACCGGGACAAAATGGGGACAGGCCTGGGACAGACCGGGACAAACTGGGGACAGAGCTGGGACAGACCGGGACAAACTGGGGACAGAGATGGGACAGACCGGGACAACATGGGGACAGACCGGGACAAACTGGGGACAGACCGGGACAGACCTGGGACAAAATGGGGACAGACCTGGGACTGACCTGGGACAGACCGGGACAACATGGGGACAGACCGGGACAAAATGGGGACAGACCTGGGACAGAGCCGGGAAAAATTGGGGACAAATGTGGGACAGACCTGGGACAAAATGGGGACAGTGCTGGGACTGACCTGGGACAAACTGGGGACAGACCTGGGACAAAATGGGGACAAACCTGGGACAGACCGGGACAAAATGGGGACAGACCGGGACAGACCGGGACAACATGGGGACAGACCGGGACAAACTGGGGACAGACCTGGGACAGACCTGGGACAGACCTGGGAAAAAATGGGGACAAACTGGGGACAGACCTGGGACAGACCTGGGACAAAATGGGGACAGACCTGGGACAAACCGGGGACAGACCTGGGACAGACCTGGGACAAAATGGGGACAGACCTGGGACAGACCTGGGACAAACCGGGGACAGACCTGGGACAAACTCAGGACAAACCGGGGACACAATGGGGACAAACCTGGGACAGACCAGGGACAAACTCGGGACAAAATGGGGACAAACTCAGAACAGACCCAGGACAAACTGGGGACAAGCCTGGGACACAATGGGGACAAAATGGGGACAGACCCGGGACAAACTGGGGACAGACCTAGGACAAACGTGGGTCAAACCCAGGCCAGATCTGGGCCAAACCCAGGCCAGACCTGGAAAAAACCCAGGCCAAACCCATAACAAACCCAGGCCAAACCCCGGGACAAACCCAGAACAAACCCAGGCCAAACCCAGGCCAGACCCAGAACGAACACAGGCCACACCCTGGCCAGACCCAGGCCAAACCCAGTCCAAACCCGGAACAAACCCAGGCCAGCCCCAGTCCAGCCCCGTGCCGAGCCGAGCCAAGCCGAGCCGAGCCGAGCCGAGCCGAGCCGTGCCGTTCTGGCAGGGGTGACCCACGAGCTGGCCAGCTCTCTGGACGTGCTGCCCACGCTGGCGGCGCTGGCGGGCGCCGCGCTGCCCGAGGCCGCCCTGGACGGCTTCGACCTGAGCGAGCTGCTGCTGCACCGCGGCCAGGTGAGAGCGGGCATGGACAGGTGAGAGCGGGGCATGGACAGGTGAGAGAGGGGCATGGACAGGTGAGAGAGGGGCATGGACAGGTGAGAGAGGGGCATGGACAGGTGAGAGAGGGCATGGACAGGTGAGAGAGGGCATGGACAGGTGAGAGAGGGGCAGGACAGGTGAGAGCGGGCATGGACAGGTGAGAGAGGGCATGGACAGGTGAGAGAGGGCATGGACAGGTGAGAGAGGGGCGGGGCCAGGTGAGAGAGGGGCAGGACAGGTGAGAGAGGGCATGGACAGGTGAGAGAGGGCATGGACAGGTGAGAGAGGGGCAGGACAGGTGAGAGAGGGCATGGACAGGTGAGAGAGGGGCAGGACAGGTGAGAGCGGGGCATGGACAGGTGAGAGAGGGGCAGGACAGGTGAGAGAGGGCATGGACAGGTGAGAGAGGGGCAGGACAGGTGAGAGAGAGCGGGGCATGGACAGGTGAGAGAGGGGCAGGACAGGTGAGAGAGGGCATGGACAGGTGAGAGCGGGGCAGGACAGGTGAGAGAGGGGCATGGACAGGTGAGAGCGGGCATGGACAGGTGAGAGAGGGGCATGGACAGGTGAGAGAGGGGCATGGACAGGTGAGAGCGGGCATGGACAGGTGAGAGAG